GTCTGTGCCGTAGCTAAGACTGGTTGGTTGGAGTGAGAGCATCACTACTAATGTGACGTCTTTGCTAGTAACAGTAGCTAGTGACCTGACGGTGCAGAGAGAAGCATGCTAAATGGTGCAGCAGCGTGAAGGTGACAGTGGTCGACTAGGAATGTCTGAAAGATTGTGATCGACAGGTTTGGCGATCACAGCCTTAGGTTTTTGACACGTGACTGTCAGTGCCCTTTTGGGACACTGGAGGGAGCACTTGAGCTAGAGTGTGTGTGTGTGCGCACGTGTGCAAATGAAGTCCCATTTTAACCCAGCAGGCCTGCACGCCTGGGCCCTGTCACGACATGGGGCTCAGGCCACACGCTGCGTGTGCTGTCAGACTTGACATCTCTCCGGTCGGATCACCGATAAGCTCCTTCCAGGAATTAAAGCTGAGGGCAGCTGTGAGAAGACTTCAGAGCAGCGAAGCCTACGTTCACAGTCCAGTAACGTGCTGCTGGTTTGTAGGGTGCTGTGCCACGTGATCATTACAGAAGGGTGAGCCGTAAAGTGCTTGTTAGGTGCCCTGGGCCTGTATGTCAGCGTGCAGTAACGTGTCTCCCTTCTCTCTCACTCTCACTTCCCCATTTCGCTTACTCTGCTCTTTCAGCACTATAATTAAGCTGTTATAATTGCTGGCGTAAATAAACAAGAAAAGGCCACCTAAATACAGCAGCCAGATCTTTCATATGAAAAAGTCGGACACCTCTGATATTTTTTCTGGCTCATTATAGGCTAAAGGCGTCGTTTGAGGTTTGTGCATAAGGAAGGGTCAATGGGACTGTTACGCATTTTTATAGTGTGTGATCTCCAAATAGCCACAAACACTGTATTATCTTTAGAATAACATAAGACCCTGTAATCTGTAACACACTGTTCCAGAACAACAACTCAACACAACATGTACTATGCAGGAATATGTCCACTCCACCTGCAAGGATTATGCTTGAGTAGTTTGTTTTATTTTTTTGGACATGTGGAATTTTTGTGGGTCTACAGTTTATGATATATTAGTAAATAAAGTTGTTAATCGAAAAACGGGAATAGCGTAGCTGCAGTTTTCGCTTTTGCCAATAGATGGCAGTGTTTACTCGTGTATCTTTAATCTCTGGCTCAATAGTCGATGTTTTATTTTCTCAGATAAAGCCGCTGTCGCCTTATTGCCTTCTGTTTCTCTCTGTGCTGTGTGTGGTCTTTCTCCCTGCTCCTGGCTGCAGCTCCTTATAAGTTAATTATGCACGTTCTTTGGTCATTATGGTCTGCTCCATCACTTCCCCGTATGATGACCTTAGCTATGCTTGGTGTGTTAAATGGATAAATAAGTTAAGAGGCTTCCAGCTCTGCTAAAGTGAAATCTGCTGCCCATAGACAGTTTAAGTTTGGTTGCTAAAGACCCTTAGCTGCACATTAGCGGTTGTGGTTGGAATACGAAGCTAGTCAGAAAGTAAGGAATATCAAGAATGGCAGAAAAGATTAAACAAGCACTCATTATTGGCTGAGTGTGTCGACACGGAATTCCCCAGCAGTAAGCGCTGTAAATGTTTCTCAGGATTCCACAGGCGTTAAATGTATCAAATGCGAGACGCCCATCCAGAGCAGGGAGGCTATAACGAAAACCAGTAACCATTTATAATAGCATGTATTGGTGGAGGCTTTGCGAAGCTTCTCATGGTCTCAGAATCCAGAGAAACTGTGAAAAATGGAGGAAAACATAACGGAGAGGTGCGAGAGAAGGCCATTTTGCTCTTGAGCTTTTTGATGGGGTACTTTGATTGCATTTACATGTTCAGTCTGTAGTATTTCATGCTATTATAAATGGTTACTGGTTGTAGTCATTTTTTCCTTTTTTGTGGTGGGTAATGGGTTTATATTTATTATTATTTGCATTATTTTATTAGGCTCAAACGGATTCTCCTGGGTTATAATATTTAGCCTTGCAGTTGCGGCAAACGGACACCAGATGTGCGCAAGTGAGCAAGGCTGAAACCCCGCCCCCGAGCCTGCCCCTTCAGTCTGGCCCTCCCATTTCCTTCCCCCATGCCCCCCTTTCTGTCCACACCCAGCCATCTGCTGCTGCGTCATATTGTCCTGGCTCACATGCCCTTCCTGGCTTTCTTCAGACAAACAGGATGAAAGGGGCCCTTTCAGCCATTCAGCCCCCCTTTTATAGTGTTGCCCTTAGCAACCGGCTCCACATTGGCCAGCTGGCCGTCTTCCTCTCCAACACAAACACTTGGCCCCTACTCCCCTCCCCCCACGAAGGAACATGGCACACATATCCATAATGGGACATTTAAAGTTTAAAGGGCTGTTTCATCTGTTCTTTGATTTTGCCCACAGCTTTGCCTGATGTTTTGTTTCGCGTCTGAATAGTGAGTCATGTTTCCCTGATACTTATTAATCCAGCTGATCTAGATGGTACAATAGATCTATGACTTTGAGAAAGTTCCCTACGGTCCAAGTAAGTAACAAAAGAAGGTTAATGTGCCCGTCTTCTGTGTGCAGGGCGTTAACAAAGCCAGCTCAGCTTTATGTTGAAATAGCTCATAGCAGAAATGTGCTGGAATTTGAGGTCTGGCACGACATGGAACAAAATGTATGTGTGTTCTTTTTTTTTTTTTTTTTTTTGTGAATTCCAGTAAGTGGAATTAATTTTGCCTGCAGTTCAGAGGTGGCCATTTGGGGGCACTCTTGCTTCATGTTTGGCTTATTTATGGCCAAAAAATCTCTGCCGTGTAAACTGAAATGACAGAAATAGTTCTAACCCCCCTCCACACGATGAGCCATCCTAATGCAAACCAGAATGGGGGGGGGGCTGTTTCGTAGACTGCGGGGGTACAGAGCTGCTGTCACAAGGGACTGTCTTCTCCAGCTTGTGGCGGCGCTTAGACTTCAGTCTGCATGCTGTGGTAGGAGGCAGAGTGGTGTGGGGAAGGGGGGGGGGGTCACTTACCGCCTGCTCTGGTCAGAATGGAGAGCAGCTGGTGCTCTAGGCAGGAATCACGGTCGACACAACAATGTGGCCTTGAGACGCCTGGTGGGGGGGGGGAGGGTTGGCTGCGGCTTAGCCTGCAACCCTAAACCACTTGCTGGGACATGGTGTGGCTGCTTTTCCCTCATCCCCTGAGCCTATTATATTAATGTATTTTCGCTGATCGGCCTGTGTTTGCTTTGGCCAAAAAGACATATATATATATCATACATCCTGCAATCCCTTTAGGGGTCAGTAGGGGTGCGCCATTGAGCCATGAATGGGAGATGCGTGCTCTGCCAGCAGCCATTTTGTGTTCCCTGGTAGACCATTTTATGAAGCAGGGATGATATGATTACGTCTTTATTAACTTAGGCATCCTCCAATCAGAGCACATCATACTGGGAGCAGAGTAAGCTCTGACGCCCGCATAGACGGGCAGACCTATTGGTGGAGTTTTTATGAATGAGCAAGAGAGATGATGTTCATACTCCAGTGCTATTAGGCAGGCTGTTAGACTGCAGTGTGGAGTGCCGGTGTTCTGAGTGCACAGGGCTGCTAGTCCCATGGGAGTTTATGTAGAATTGAAAAAGGATGGTGTCTTTCTGAATGTGAAACAGAGCTGTTCTCTTTCCACGGCAATTACTTGTTCAATAGACAGGAAAGCAGGCATTTAAGTTCCAGGTCATTAATATCTGTTCTATTTGAATTGAAAAGCTCATAAAAGGCACCCTGTGTGTAACCTGATCGCAAACTCGCTCAGGTTCGATCCCATGCCACACCATGCTGTGAGTCTCACCCGCTTCCAGCACGTCCCACCACCCGCAGGGCTGCGTGTGGTACATTGCGATCTGTCACACGGGGTACTGCAAGAATCGTCATTACTGTACTGTTATTGTGTTTGTCTTGATTCTTGGCTGAGGGCTTTTATCCAAAGCTGTTTAAATGTACCTGTTTATCCTGCTAGTTGTTTAACCGGAGCAGTTCAGGTTTCATTTAAGGATACTGCAGCCCCTTCTGGGATTTGAGCTGACCGCCTTCTGGTTAAGTATCAGGTCATCTTTAGTGGACTGCTGCTCAGTTTTGTAGTTTTTATATGTTCTTATTCTGGGGCTTTTTTTAAATTAAACGCACAGCATGCATATTCTGTTAATCAGCATATTGTAGTGTGATATGTCTGTTGTGGTCCATCACTCCTGGGGAGCCAGTTGCTCACCTGACGCTCTCTCTGGGGCGGGGGGGGAGAGTGACCTCTGAGCATGGGGCGTTTGTGACAGATGTGTATGCACTGAGGGACGTGAATGGGCTTAAACAAGGTTTAGTCATTTGGGTCCTGCACAATGTGGATGTGGGAGAAGTGTTTGCAGTCTGCTGTGTTGGGGGGGGACGGACGATGTGTCTGCTTGTGGAGATCATTCTCCATGAAAACTTTCTCTCTCAGTGGCAGTAGAGCAGAAGCGAGGTACAGTCGTACGGCGAACATGTGACATTTACTCACTGTTGGCTGGTCGGTCTCCATTTCCCCAGTGTATTAGGACTGCTGGGTTATGGGGCCCTTAGTGCCGGAACAATGGCCATTTAGTCCCGTTTTTCCCATTGGGGGGGGGGGGGGGGGATATGGTTGGGGGGATGAATTTGTGAACCAAGCGGCAGGAAATGGCTGAGGGAACGTTGGAGGTCATGTTACAGAATCAGCTTTTATGACGTCCTGCAGATGTTATGTGGCTCCTTTCATCTGTTTAACACTCCATACTTTCTGCTGGAATGCGTGTCGTTTTACTCCCTGCTCTGGTGCCGCTGGAGTCTCACCGTGAGAGTGATTTGTTAGCTGTATGTGTGGGCATTTGTTTAAACCTTCAGTCAAAGCCGGCCTGTTGTGGCTCCGGTGCCTCAGACGGTTACGTAACTGCCTTTTAAATGTTTAGCTTTCTAATGAAGTTTCTGGGCTAGAAGTGACTTGAATCGAGAAGCAGCTTCTGCATGTTCCATCTCTTTACAGCCAAGAAAGACGCAGATGGGACGGACGACAAGAAGGCGGGGCAGAAGAAGAAGGTCAAAGAGCTGAAGGTTCTCGACACCAAGGCGTCCCAGAACCTCTGTGAGTCTGCGATATCGGGCCTGTGGAAGCGGCAGCAGAGCTATCAGCAGCTAATTAATAAGCAGATTCAGCAGAACTGCTCCCTTTGTGTTGTGTGACACTCTCCTCTCATGTAAAAAGTAATGAACTTATGAATAAAAGCATTACATTACACATCACCTGCACGTGGAACAAAAACACAACTATTTTTTCTATTTATATAAGTATGAGTAAAGGCACATGGAAATTAGTTCTGTAGTTGTTACATATCCCATCTTACTTTTCTCTGACATGGGTTAGAGTAAAGCTTGGGGTCAGAGCTGGATCGGCATTTTTCGTGGTTAAGGGCCTTGCTCAAGATCCCAAAGCTGAAATGATCACTCAGCCGACAATGGGATTTGAACCGGCAACCTTCCCATCCCAGACACAGTATCCTAAACCACAGAGCCTCACACCGCCCCACAACTTCCTTATGTATTTAGTCCTGCAGTTTAATTTATTGTGTTTTACATGCCAAAATGGACGATTCCATTAGTTGTGGATCTGCAAGTTGAAAACCAAGGCAGGGGATGTTCATCATTTTCTTAATTTTGCTGCAGCAGCGTATTGCGATCTTAGAGCTACTTGGGAGGAAATGGGGAGTTGTGAGCATGTGGGTGCATTCAGGAAGCCTCGCCGTACTGCCCCTGAGTGCTTCCTGTGGCTGCCTTGGCCTGATAGTGCTGTGCTGCTCTGTTCTGCAGCCATCTTCCTGGGCTCTTTCCGTCTGCCCTACGAGGAGATAAAGAACGTCATCCTGGAAGTGAACGAGAAGGTGCTCACGGAGTCTATGGTTCAGGTAGGCGGCCTGCTTAATTCAGCCTTTCAGGCCTTGTTTACGTCAGAAACGCCAGTACAAGCGGCTGAAGCCTGTTCTCCAGCCTCCGTCAGATAACGATGTCCATAATTAGTGTCGTCTGGAATGATTTCAGCAGCGATTTCTGCATCGCATTATAAGGTCAGCAGTGTAGCTTCAGTGAGGGCTTGATGCTCCATTCGTCATTGGCGTTTCTTCCTATCACGCTGCCTTTCTTAATATCACTCAGTGTCCAATGTCTGTTTTTTCCAGTCTGCTGCAGAAACATTTAACCTACCCAGAATGGGCTCAGCCTGTAATCCAGGACACAACCAGACTAAAACCACCCATAAGCCCCTTAGATCACCGTCACTGCCAGTTTCTGCACAGGCATCTGTAGCTCTGACCTCAGCAACATGTTTAGGCAGAGACGGGGATTTGTAGTATCCCGGCCTGCCCCTCCATGAATGCCAGGAGTTAATGAAGTTAATCGCTGATGAAGTTACTTTATTCGCTATTGTACCAGCACTATTACAGCTACACAGGAATTCTCTTGTATTTGCATATCCTGTCTTGCTTTCTTATGAGAGACACTTACGTAGTGGTGAGAGAGCAAAGCTTGGGGGTCAGAGCACAAGGTCACCCTTTTTACTGGGTGCCTCTGAAGCAGTTTTTGGGGTTAAGCAGAAAGTACTATAGTCCACTATTAATCCCTTTTCCGTGTTGGCTGTATTAAATGTGTTCTATTCTTATAAAATGCCAGCTATTGAAGTGTCTAAATTCTGATACCTTCTCTCTTCATATTAAGCACAAAGCTCTGTAAAGGGGACTGTTCTCCAAAAAGTTCCACTCCTGTCATTTGGTGAACAGATTGATCAGGGTGGGTTGTGTTGAGCCCACTGCCTCAGGCTAACGTAGCGTTGTTCTCTACCTCGGGACTACAGAACCTGCTGAAGCAACTTCCAGAGCAGGAGCAGCTGAACGTGCTGGCGGAGATGAAGGATGACTATGAGGACCTGGCAGAGTCCGAGCAGTTTGGAGTCGTGGTGGGTTCACACGTGTGCAAGGGGACGCATGCGATATGCGGGTTTATCCCTGAATTTGTATCATGCAGTCGGCATGGCCGACCGGATCGTTCCACTTCAGCCGTGACCTTGACCTCTGACCCCTGGCCTCCCCCCAGATGAGCGCCGTGAAGCGGCTGAAGCCGCGACTCACCGCCATCCTGTTCAGGCTCCAGTTTGAGGAACAGATGAACAACATCAAGCCGGACGTGGTCTCGGTGACGGCGGCGTGCGAGGAGCTGAGGAAGAGCAGCAACTTCACCCAGCTGCTGCAGATCATCCTGCTGGTGGGAAATTACATGAACGCCGGCTCACGCAATGCGGGGTCCTTCGGCTTCAGCATCAGCTACCTCTGCAAGGTGCGTCCCGGCTTGAGGGCACTCGCTGGCGTCGCGGCGCTGACTCAGTCAATTGACGTATTATTCTTTCCCGTTGAACTGGGATGCCTGTTCCATGTGCGCAGTTGCGGGACACCAAATCCGCGGATCAGAAGATGACCCTGTTGCACTTCATAGCTGACATGTGTCAGGAGCAGTATGCTGACATCATGCACTTTACAGAGGAGCTCATTCATGTGGAGAAGGCCAGCAAAGGTGAACACACCCCTGCCACACTCCCACTGACCACTCTCCTCTTGGTATTCGGTATCAATGTCCCTGTCTCCCTACATGCCAATCACACTTCCATCTCCATACCTACAGCCAATGCTCATCTGTCCCTACCCAATGATCAAGCTTACTTTTGCTCATCTGTCCCTATCCAATGATCAAGCTTACTTTTGCTCATCTGTCCCTACCCAATGATCAAGCTTACTTTTGCTCATCTGTCCCTACCCAATGATCAAGCTTACTTTTGCTCATCTGTCCCTACCCAATGATCAAGCTTACTTTTATTTCACAAGGACATCTACCTACCCCCAGACTATCTCTTGCTTCATTTGGTTGTGACACATCTTGATCATGTCGCAGCTGGACCTCATGTGCTTCCTCGTGTTGTCGTTGTCTTCCATGGTCACTTTTCCACGCTGTGCCATGACTGTCGCGTCTCGCCCCAGTGTCGGCAGAGACTCTGCAGAAGAACATCGAGCAGATGGGCAAGCAGATCAAGGACCTAGAGAAGGACATTGAGACCTTCCCACCCCCTCAGTGCGACAAGGATCTGTTTGTGGAGAAGATGACCATATCCTTTCTGAGCCGGATCCCTGAACTACGCTCAGTGTACCTCTCCAGACCAGAGGTCTGAAGAGGCCTCTGTGTGGTTTTGGTTTTCGTGTATTTAGAGCGCACATGTAACCAAGTAGCACATGATGTTAAACTGTAGTCTGGTGACAATGAGCAGCACTCTTGCATTTTTGAGGAGGCTTATTCTTGTTGTAACTTTTTTTTATCCCCAACATGTTTTTCTTTGTCTTTTCCAGTAGGGAGGCAAAGAGCCATATTTATAACTGGCCCTACTTGTAGTCACTGTTGACCTTGCGCACAAAGTCCCACTGTTCTGCACAGAATGACCCCACAGTCCAGTGGCCTGCAGAGTTGAAATACCGCACACCTACTCTGCTCCCACAGGACAGTGCTGTTGTGTTTGACGTGGGTGGGAGGGTCAGAGGTCACAGCTTGCGGGGCAGTTTGAGCCCTTTCCTGTTGGTGTTTAGAGGTCTGCTCTCCATTATGCCACTGAGGTGAGGATGAGCTACGTCAACATTTTTCTCAGACTCCTTAACCCTTTCAGCACAGCTTTGTTGGCAATGCGCGGGAGCAATACGAAAAGCTTGATCTCATGCATCAAAACATGATCAAGCAGTATGAGGACCTGGGCGTGTTCTTTGTCTTCGACCCCAAGAAGATGTCAATAGAGGAGTTCTTTGGCGACCTCAACAACTTCTGTAACATGTTCCAGGTGAGCCAGCTGTTTTCTCCCATGTCATGTTGAAAATCTATTCAGCAGTGCTGTGGGTCTTTGGCCTCTGTGCAGGGGTAGGCAGTCACCTGGGGCCCCATGAAGACAGAATTACCAAATAATATTTTTATGGATATAAGATAAATGACCATTTAAATTTATAGCAACAAGTCTGGTATTTTGCATTTTTAGCGGGTGTTTTCAGAATAGATGTAGTCCCCCCCCCCCCCATCCCAGCTATAATGGACTATTCCAACCTTGGGACTCTACTCTATCCAGCTTTCTTTTCACACAGAAGCCTAGTGGTAGGCTACCGGTTGTTTCACTGCCAAGCTGCACAGAGCAGCCTAACGAGAAGAATACGGCGCAGAGATGCAAGACTCACATTACATCTCGCGTCTTTGATACCGTCCCGCTAGAGTGGTAGACAAATCATTACCAGATGTGGAGAGAACATAATTAAATGCCTTAGCCTCAGGGGTGGAGGAAGGTATATGCTCTCCCAGGGCCACGGCAAAAGAGGGATCAGTTAAACTTCTTAAGTTCGATCGATCCAACGGTGCAATACCCCTCTCCCCTTGCTGGGTGAATTTTACCAAATGCACCCCCACCCTGATTGGGACGTTTTACCACGGGCTCCCCGTGTTTTAATCAGCAGATATTCCGTCATTTTTAATTCCCTCTTGTTTCTCTTTCAGCACCAAACAAAATAGTTCACATGGTCCTCCGTAGAGGGCCCCCTACCCATGTCAGCCCTGCTGACCCAGAGAAGTTAGCTTACCCGTACCTATGTGGCACTCTGAAGACATTAGGGGTTTCGCTTACCATCAAACATGAACAGCTGTTAGCCACATCTCACACTTGCCAGTGTCGAGGAGCAGCTAGTATTCCGGGAACATATTGCAGAGCTCGTTTTACACCATGCGATCGCTCAGCAGAGGAAGGGTTCAAATCATTCATTCAGAAAGCCACCCATCTTGCTGTGATTTGGGAAGTACCTCCTGGGGGCGGGTGGGTGTGGAGTGAACGAGTCTGTCTGTCTCATGGTGCGTCTCCCCTTCACACACCCAGCAAGCAGTCAAGGAGAATCAAAAGAGGAAGGAGGCTGAGGAGAAGATGCGGAGAGCTAAGCTGGCCAAGGAGAAGGCTGAGAAGGAGAAGGAGGAGAAGCAGAAGAAGAGTCAGCTCCTGGACATCAATGCAGGTGAGTGAAGGGTCATCCATCGATCCTGTCATGCAGGACGCCTTAACTTGGTGGCTGGGATGCATTGCCACTGAACCACTGAAACACTAAATTTAGGTGTGCGGAGTTTACAAATTTATAAGTGGTACTATGTTGTGGATTCTTTACTATTCCACACACATTCTTACATAAACCCCCCTATTTGGACACTTTCCTGAGTGGAAAGTGTTCCCATAAAATTCACATAATTCAATTGTTCAGTCAGGATCAGGGATACCTAAGATGTATTACACCGCAAGGCACAAGGCTTCAGCGCATACAGCAGACATTCCTCTCCCGTGCCACAGGTGTAGATGCACAATATCGGCCAGTGCTCATTAAAAGTCAAGATATCGACATCCATTCAGTGGTTCTATCATGGCCAATATTGCTGGCCAATAAACTTCAGTCAGAAGCAGCAGAGCTAAAGACACAACTGCTAAGATAATGGGGGTGGCTTCTCGGCATGGTGCTGCAGTGGAGGACGAGGAGGGATTCCATCAGCTCATTCATGGCATACAGCAGAGGCCTCGAGCTGCCTTCCTGTGAGGAGGCTTCATGCAGCCCCCTTGGCAGGCTTCCCTGCTGGCATCTCACCACTCTACCCTTCTCTCAGTAAACTTTACAGGTGGATATAGAGGTAGAAAGTAAAAATCCAGTTCAAGATTTTGTTTCAACCAACCAGCTGAGCCTAAAGAGTCAGTCAACTGGTTGGTTGGAACAAAATCTTGGTCTGGATTTTTACTTCCTGGACCTGAACTGTACACCTTTGGTAAACTTCACCGCCCAGCAGTAGCACAGCGGATTTTTGGTATTAAATTGTTTCTCTCTCATCTGAAATAACTGCCTGACCACCCACATCATGTGATGTGGTTGCTATTCACATTTGAGAGATTTTAAGAAGCCTCACTGGCATCAGTTTCACTGCATTTTTGTGGAGCTCCAGTTTGCCGGTGATTGGTATCGGCTGTTGACATCTGTAATATTGCGTAAAAAATTGAGGCCGCTCCATTTAAAAAATAAAACAAATCTGCATTTTTAAATCCTGGTTTAATCCTGGCTCTGCTGACAGAAGGCTACACAGCAGGTTGCTTCCAGGCTCAAAATTTCTAAGACAGCAGTACACAAGAACACAGTGAATCAGAACGACCAAAAACCAGCCAGATAGAGGGCAGAAGTGACTTTCTAATGGCAGAGATAACCGTCAACTTATCTGACAATTTCACATGAATCTCATGAAGTATGACATCAGGTGACCTTTTAAAGGAATGGGAAACATTAAGTGCAGGTGTGAAGTGCACTGGTAGGACAGTGTGTATCAGGCTCCTAGAAGCAGGACTGAAGATCCAAAAAGCAAGGAAGAAGCACTTCATCGGTGAGATGCAGGGAAGAGCCAAGCTGCAGTTTGCAAAAAAGATATTCACAAACGCACACCCTAAAATTGAGAAATGAGTGAAATGAAAGGCATCTTAAAAGGTGGTCTCTTAATTTTAATTCCCAAGCTGTATATTGGTTATCGATATCCGCCATACTTTCCGCATCGGTGCGGCATTACCGGGGGGCTTTTTCTAGAGAGACCATCATGAATCCCCTTCTGTCTGTGGAAGCCCTTCATCTCCTTGTATATGCAGCCATTTCACACGTCCTTACTCGGCACTCTCCTGTATGACATGACTTCAGTGTGACCTGTAAGCAGTGCCGGGATTTCTGCCCCCCACTTCCCCCATCCACACATTTCCACTTTGAACCAGTGGAGGGTGCTCTAAGTTCATTTAAACACACGGCCGGAGTTGCTTGTTGGTGGGAGAAGGAAGCCATCATATTGTCCTGTGTTCCTCCGAATTTCTCCGTTCGCCCTGCCAAAACTTTCTGGAATATTAGAAACAGACCAGCTGCTCAGATCAATCTTCATCTTAACTGCTCACTAGAGAACACATTACTCAAGACCTGTATGCTGCTGGCATATTTATATCACAACAGGGTCCTCATGGAAAAGAATGACTCTAAATTGGAGTGATATGTTACTCTTGGATCTCATTTTTGATCTATTCCAGCCTTATTGTACTCAACCTTTTCTCTTCCTTTACCCCCATGTTACCTCTTAGCTGATCCAACCTTATTGTCTCAGTCTCTGGTAATGGCTCAGCCATCCTTTTATCTATCTACACTTAATCATCTTCAGCACGATGCTCAGACATGGCACGAATGACGTAGGCCGGCCTGGAATTGATTTAAAGACCACACAGCTATGCGAACATGTAAGCCATCTCGAGCGCACAACCTGCGCCGGCTGTTGCGAGTATATTATACTTACAAGCATGCGTCGCCCCCCCCCCCCCTCAGAGCCACAATCCCTCCCCCCTCATTCCTGACCTACTTTCAGGCATTCCTTCCATCCATCTGAAACAGCACACATCCCTATGGGACGAGCTATTTGGCCTGCGCTGCTGCCTGTCTCTCTGCACCTTCTTATCCCCTCGTACACCGGAGCACCATGCTCATTCAGTGTCTACGCTCTGTACCCTATACCCTATAGTTATGACCACATAATTCCAGTTTAGTCCATTTTGTCTGCTGTTACAGTGCTGAGCATTGACCTGAACATTGTGTCGAGGTTCCACTATACCACATGCTTACTACATCTGTATTACTACATATGTATCATCTCCAGTTAAATACAGTTGTTCTGTGCTGTACTCAGTACAGTTATCATGGTCTGGTTGTTCAGTGCAATATAGGCCTACAATTAGCGCTATGTCACTGTCATTCTGTACTATGTCGTCAATTAGCCTAGCTCCTTAGGTTAGCATCACTGTATGTTAGCCGTATGCCTTCTGATATACAGCAAGTCCCCAGGTTACAAATGGGTTCCGTTCCCCACGTCTGTCTTTAAGAACAATATGTAGGTAAGTCGGAAAAATAATATAGTACATAATCATACAGTGATATTAAAAGTACATACAGTACTGAATTGTACATTGAGCTGACGAACTACTGAAGTCATGCAACCTTTCCATGAACGTCACAAAGTAGTGCATCTTTTTATTATGGACCATGCTGGTCAATCTGAATAGGCCTTATGGTGTCCATTTGTCAGTACAAGTTGTCCGTAAGCTCGATGTTCTTATGCTGGGGGCTGCCTGCACTTGGAGCATTTCCAGGCTGCTTCACACCATGCATCGATTCCATCCCAAACACAAGCTAGGCGATAACCCTAAAAACCTGAGCTGCAAGCCCTCCGCACTGACTGCCCACTAAGAGGCCCTGAAGATGAAATATACAAAAACTTATACTGACATTATTTTAAAAACATATATATAGTTTTATAATCCACACTGAACACTAATTCCAAGTTAAATGGATTTCAATTGAAAATGTTTAATGCTATACATTAAAAACTAAAAAATCAAAACTATGACGCTCCACCCTCCAACAGTTTGTTTGTATGGCTTATTCATTATTGGAATTAGATTTCAGTCCCTTCTTTTAATTTGCCTTTCATTTTCTGAATCTGTTTAAGGTGAATCTTAAGGGAATTTTAAGAAAAAGTGGGATTCCGAAGTAAAGAAATTATGACTAGAATCATGTCATGATAACTATCGATATTGACTGATATCAAAAAGGTTATCATGATATAAATGTTTTACTTTATCGCCCATCCACACTTCTGTTATAGAGGAGACTTCCTGATTCCCAGGAGTTACACCCTCTGCGATTTAGATGTGGGGTCAAAAGACTGAGGCCCTGAGATTCGCTTTGCTTGTCTAGTTAAATAGAAATCCGTGCTGAGTCTTATAGCTGAGCTCATGGAGAAAGCTGCTACCGTGTTTACACTGGCCTGCAGGGCCTCACACGCCAATTACAGACTCTACTGAGCTCAAATGGGCCGTGAGAGCCTGGAATGTTGCACATCACACAGGAAGTGTGGATCAGCTTCCTGTTTTGCTCAGGGACTTTACTGGAAAGTCCCATGGCCCTAAAGCAAGTGGCCACTTGTGTGCTGTCTGCCCAATTAGCTGCCCAAATGTAAACATGGACTAGATATGACCCTTGTAGTCTCATGCAGAAGGCTTATCAAGTACAGAAATGACTTGGGCTCACCAGTAAATCAAGGGGGAGTTAGTTATAACAGCGAGGAAGTGTTGTCGCATTATCGGTTTATACTGCAAGTCTATTGGCATGTACACCTGCTCCTGCAATATAATGCGTGCTGGTGCCTTACACTTCCTAATGCCCTCCACTAGTTGTCAGTGTTGGTCAAACAAGAGGCTGAATGTTACAGCTAAAGGACAATGCAGCAGGGAGGCACTGACTCTTGCCTTTGTTTTCTCATGAATGATAGTGTTATAGCTGCAGTCTATGCCTTTTAGTACAAGCGGTGTGTTGAACTTGACCACATGGGAGTACCAGTACTCCAAGGTGGCTTGGTCGCTAGTCGAACAAGGTCTATTCCCTCGTTGCTGCAGTTAACTTTATGTAACTTTACTCCTTACAGCTTTTAAGATGTTAATCTCCAAATTAACTCGTTTACGCCTTGCTATTATTAAAGCATTTATATTATATTTATTTACTGACAGTAACAGTGTTATGACATTTTTTTTTTTAACTTATTACTGTAAAAACTGGTTTCTGCCAGTTCATTCAGCCTTCCTTGCTGTTTATATTAACTAAGATGGCTAAGCCATCCACCAGGCTAGAATACCAGGCAGTTTTCATGGTAGTTAACTAGGTCGTTCATGGTATTTGGTTACATGGTGCATATTTTTACCTTTTAAGAGCAATTTGTGCCACAAGCAGGAAGACAACCCATGTGAGTTGCAGCAGATGTTTATATTTTTGTAATGCACATATGACCTGTTTGAGCATGAAGGTGACCCATATGCCTCCTCTGAGCACTATTGCCTGATTCTGAGTAGTATATTTTTAAGTGTTACTTTAGATCATTCTGTAAGCATGGCTGAAACAAGTCTCTTTTTTTCCTAATGTCAGAAAAAAATCTTTCATTTATATGTGACCTACAAAGCAAGCTGAGGCTTATCCTTTAATTCTGTTTCCTGAAGGCTAGTTTTACTTGATTATTATGGAAGTGGGTCAAAATTTGGCTTGAATAAGGAGCCATATAAGCTGGGTTACCAGAAATATTTTAAAATAATTTAACACATACAGTTGCCTACCTTGACCACTAGGTGGTATATGTAGACCACATGGGAAGTTCCTGGCTAATTCTGGTAGCCTGTGTTCCATCTGTACATGTGTTTGTCCGTGGGGGGTTGTGTGTACTGAGCATGCGTGCTTGCAGAATCCCCCTAGAGACTCCAAGGATTTAACTCCTTTAACCCCGTCATGAGAGTGTCGGCTTTCGGGGTTACCCTGACACACACCCTGCGCGTCCTTTGCTGGGTCCTTTGTGGCGTAACAGTGTGGCATCGTGTATCCACGTGTAGCTCTTGTGTTTCCTGGTAGCAGAAGTGGGCCGTTGCACATCTGGGTTAATGTGGACCCTGCCGCACCGCAATCGCCTGCGTAAATTTGACTCCCCCCCCCCCGCTCGTGGTTGCTGGCCCGTTATGGGCTGTGCCATTCCACCTACATACTCTTATGGTTTTATCTCGTAAACCACCAACACTGTCACTGATTAACACTGGCTACCACTCCATCCTCCTGCGGGAAAGAGACAGACAATCAAACGTCAGTATAGCAGCTTATTCACTGCATGGCGTAGTTAATTGTACAAGCACTCATTCTCACCCTGCATATAGGGTGTGTGCTTCTTTCTTGCAGGAAATATAATAGTACGGACTGTTTCCAGTGATGGGGGGTGCTGTCCTGATTTACGCTGTGCTCCATGTGCACAATGAGCTATTTTTCTCCCCCAGGATTCAGCTGCCCAAGGGTGTTGAACAGCCGCACTACCAGTAAAAAATTCTTGCACACACGCATATTTTCTGCGTTTGCATGTTTCTCACTTAACATATACTAATAATACATTCATTATTCATTGCTAACAAATACATTTGCAGTATGTTCACCATTTGACTTCCTTTATTAGCAAGAAAAGTCATCTTTCATTCGTCAAAGTAACCTCCTCAGGCAGTTATAACAGCAGGGAAAATTCGAGGCATTCTTCTCACAAGGGACATTAAATACTGCTCTCCTGGGAATGAACAGTTAACTAGTGCATCTAAAGTTAAAGGACAGCTTAGAATGTGACTCTGCCATCCCCCCACAACCTGTTAACAGGACGTCAGGCATGCTCTGTTACATAGTCCTTCCATGTCATAAAGGAAACTTGTTTTATTTCTTATGTTTTCCAGAGGTGGAGATTCAAGGTCCAGAGAGTACAAATCCAGATCAAGATTTTGTTTCAACCAACCAGCTGAGTCCTCTGAGACTGTGACTCTTTGTACTTAACTGGTTGGTTGAAACAAAACCTTGGGCTGGATTTGTACTCTCTGGACCTGAAATCACCACCATTCACTCGACTTTCCAATGCTTAACGAGAATACAAAATCTGCAGATTATGAAATGAATGGAAGTGGTAAAAGCCTGTGGTGTACTGGCTGTTCTGCAGAACAATGAAAACCTTCTTTGCACCTTCTCTGTTTGCTGAACTGCGATGATGAAGGAGCTTCGCTCTTCGTCTATAGACCTTTTCCTCACTACCAGCGTGTGTATATGTGTGCACATGCACACACCTGCTTTTTGCGTTGTGGCATCTTTCCCTGACCGCGACTAAATACTTGTGCGTGTGTTTTTTTTTTTCCCTCCTAGATGGTGATGAGACGGGCATCATGGATGGCCTGCTGGAGGCGCTGCAGTCGGGAGCGGCCTTCAGGAGAAAGAGGGGTCCCCGGCAAGCCGGTGAGTGCGGCTCCCCACAGCGGGGGCCACTCAGCGTCCGGAGGCACGTCACGCCTCCCTGCCTCTGTTCACATTCTCCTGAAAGGGCTCTGATTCAGTGAGAGATCCTGGATAGAACCTCTCCCTGCTGGGAAGCCTCCGGTCTCAAACTTAAAAGCAGTTTGTGTGCCTTTAGCCGTAGCGTTAGCCTGATGGTTTATTGGGGCACACAACTTACACACCTCTGAAGTCTCTTGCGTTTGAGGCTCTCGCTCGCACACGTGGCACATGCATCCGTTCACAATGTTGAGTGTAGCAGTAATCCAGTTCATGAGAAAGGGGTGTTTGTTTTTTTTTTTTAAAGACTGGGAGAAAAATGTCCCACAGGAAAGCTCGGAGGAAATGGCCTGCGATCTCCATATATTATGGGATTCGCATGCATGGTTTTGCATTTGAATCCTAAAGACTGGCGCGATGGACTCACAGTGCGACTCGCTTTCCTGTGGTCAGCCAAGAAATATAGGCAGATATGTAATGTGGAATCATAATCTGCCATCATTCATGCCACATGCTCAAATTCTTTTTCACAAACTGGGTGACCAGTAGGGGGCATCCTGTTCCTAGCGAGCTGATGAATGCACACAGTTTATGATTGGGTATATAAGATTATAAGGGACACTGCAGTCAGTTCAGGACATTCCTGCTGACAGATTCCCCTGGGGGGGTCCAGTCACGACTTCTCCGCCCTCGCCCACAACAGACTAGCAAAGCAGGAGCTCTGGGCTGCGACACTGCGGATCAGAGGCTATCGACGAGCCTGCGGTTTACACACCACCCCAGGGCAGACGCTAATTAACACCTCAACAGGCCTTTACACTGTACGCGCCTCAGGTTTTAAAGCCGTGTCTTTCTCTGCCCTTTCCTGAAGAGTGTGTGTGTGTGTGTGTGTGTGTGTGTGTGTGTCTGGGTGCTCATACGCTGACACCAGCAATGATTCCTGTCTGCCTCTGGCCCCAGCTGCCAAACAGCATGAAGAGGCCTCATTCCCCCTCTCTCTCTGCCTTTGTTGTATATGTAACTCTCCGAGTGGGTGGGTGTGTGAGAGAGCCCGCGCTTTTCTTCAGCCTCAGTCCAGTGGTTCTGTTTCCTCCAGCTGCTGGAAGTCTCTGAAAATAGCAGCCGCAGCCCCAGCTCCCCGGTGCCTCTGAATCAGACCGGAGGCAGCTGCCAGGTCGTGATGCGGGAGCGTGTGCTGCCTGCTACCTGCTCTGTGAAACAGATGTACTCTCCGTATCGTCAGAATAATTATATTGTTTTGTTTTTTTCTTTTTGAGGTGACTGGGTGCTATAGCATGCTGCTTCAGAAATCTTTGCTAGTCAAAGATAGACTTTTCTATTAACTGGGGAACAAACTACAAGCAGTATAACCATCAGGCTTGAATCAGTGTCGAAGAAAATTCCCTCAGATCTTAAATTTATGGGTCGTGCCTCATCTACACTTACGTGGAATTTATTCCAAACCCACACCACCCTATGAGCTTAAAAGAAGCCATTAAACTGGTTCTTGCTAAATTCCATTTGTAGACTCCTCAGCATATGTCTCCCTCGCTATCTGTGTATATTCAGGTTTTGCCCTCCTTGCCACTGGCTGGTGACTAAAGGGAGTCAAAGCATTTCAACTGTCCTTGTATGGCAGCCCTTGGCCGAACTCACTGCAAACAGCTGCGTTTTTGAAGAGCGCTCCCCAGTGTGCCTTATCAGTGGACTGTGTCGTTTCAGCACTGTATCCCAGGGCTTTGCAGTCCAAATCCAGATCCCAAATGTATCCTGACACCTTGATTGCATCACTGCAGTGCCTCGACATTAAACCCTCCAGTTACAAAGGTTGTTTGTAATGTCAGAGTCCGCTATATATAATCATAATCGCAGCTTTTGTGTGAGCCAAATGATTTTAACATTGCTTTTGCGGATTGTTTTTGAAAATTGAAATGAATAGTTTGGGGGACAGATGGTTCATTAGGCATGCTTCTGACAATGTCACCTCAGTAAAAGCTGTGTTTACGCTGAATGAACTTACACCTGTGCAACCTTCTGGCTGTCGCCCTATGAGCCCATATTTCTCTGGAGATTAGCTGACAATGACCTATAAGCATTGACTTCAACGTTTTCTATATGCTTATCCTGGGCAGGTTGTAGGGGGTCCTGGGGCCTATTCCAGGCAGCACAGGGCACAAAACAGGGGCACACCGTGGATGGGAAGCCAGTCCATCGCAGGGCACATGCCCACACACTCACGCACACTTTGTGAACTTAATAGATGCTCTTCAACATACATGGGGCATATGAAAAAATGTCAACAGGAAGTTGGTGTCTCTGTTTTGTGGGGCGTCTTCAGCCAGTTTCTGCTGTCCTGTTGACACACTGATAGTTCTGTCCTCAGAACAATTTCATTCCAACTTTAGGCTGCCGTTGACAAATGGAATACATCTGCATCTCTCCTTTTTTGGGAAGATGACTGCTGTGTTTCTTCCACGTCTTGTGGTTACGACTTTTGTAGGAGGGCCATCATCTTTCCTCTTAGAAGTTTATTTTTAAAAGATGACTTTGTGTAATACCTCATTTTCAGAAACCCCCCCCAGACATGACAGAGCTGCCACATGCTGTTTTACTTCACGCAAAAACCCCGTGCCTAACAGTCTCTGTTTATTTGTTTGGTTCCATTGTGTGTCTGAATGTCTCCTACCATTGTGTTCTGAGTTTCTGCTGAAATAGCTCTGCTCTGCAGCTCCGAGATCCTGTATCATGAGAGGCGGCACCACCAGACAGCTACATCCAAATGGATTCGTCTATCTGGTGCCAACGAGCCCATTTTTCACATACGTGTCACACGTGACTCAATGGCCAGTGGTCTTACATTGTGGCCTGGACATGGAAGGCGGGGTGGAGGGCTGAAACAAAGGACTAGTGTTTGCTCGCATGGTTAAGGGGTGAGTAACTGGAAATGGATCACAAGAGGGGCTGTAGGATTTGATCTGAATGGCTGTAGAGGTCATGGATGTTCATCTGTGTCTTGGGGTGCTCTTCCCTTTTAAGTGGGGTGTGGGAGGCAGTGAGGTCACCCTGGGAGTGTGCCTGTCCAAACCCACGTCCCCATGGGTACTGTGGTAGTTCAGCTGCTAGCCAGCTGCATATGAATTTCCTCTCCCCACTGTCCAGACATGGGGGCTCCTGATTTCCCGATACTGGCATCCAGAAGGCCTACTTTTTGAGATGAGGAGTGTTCAGGTTTGGCTGAAACTAAATTCTGTATAGAGGGGAATGAACTCTGATTGGACGGCTCCGGTGCCAATGTTCAGCCCCGTAAATGGGTGACAGCAGTCCCAGCTCACTGCTGCGAATCAGGGACAGATCTGTTTATGCCCCCGGCCCTCATCTGCCTTTCGAGGCCTGCTGTCCCGAAACGGCTCATCATGGGTGTCCCAGCCCTTGTCAGCATTACAAACTGATCTTGTTTTCATTATCTACAGTTATGCGCACTGTGTGTGTGTTTATGTGTGGTGCTCTAGTACAAAAGCCTTGCATATCTATATACTGTAGGCCTTCAAATGTCAATACTTGCATGTGTGTACGTGCCGATAGGGCCAACAGCTGCCTTCAGGAAAAGAATGGGAGCTTTAATACCGCTGGAATCAACACTCTCTTGTGTGGTATTGCTGCTTATGTCAGTCCCGGTCATACTCTGTGTGCTACGCTCCACGGACGCTAACCTGAATGGGAATCTTCACACCTGGCACTTTATGGGGTCGAGTTGAATTTTGGTGGCTTTCAACCTGCTTTGTATTTCCTTTTAGGCACTCTGGTCATTTGGACACATTACAGGGAGAGTGTGGTCTGGTCCTCCTGATAAGTGCCCTCTGGTGGTATTTGCGGGCTCAGCCAGCAGTGGTGGTTGGTTCTGGAGTAAAATCTTAAATCACGATTGGTGTCCCTGCTCAGCTTAACGCAATGCAAGCCACTTGCTGTGGATCTGAACCCTGCCCAGCATCCCACTGGCATTTTTTTATGTTTAGTGATGACATCTCAACCAGAGACTGTAAATTGTTAGCACATTTGCACTGGAAGAGTTAGCCTGGTTCGACGAAGACAAAGTCTTGCCTGGAGGTGGTTGGTTCCAACCTCTGTCATGCCGGCACTGTTCACATATCTATTTTTGTATCAGAGCGATACTTAAATTGAACAGCTGAAATGAAAAATCTCACTGTATATGTGGACAAAATTGCATTGGATGGAGAGACTGGCTGAGTAAATAAATTATATAATATATATATATTCCATTTATAAGGAAAAGATAATCTTCCAAAAATGAATAAATAGATTTAGGATTATTTTTAGGACTATAAATATGTAATCTGGTGAGTAAGACTGCCTACCTGCTCAAATGGGCAGCTGACTAATAAAACCTGGCAGTTTTCTCTCTCTCTGTCTCTTTCATTTGTCCCCAACTTCCCCCCCCCCCCAACTCCCACTCTCTTTTGTGGATCATATATATACAGTGTCTGACTCACTGGATCCGGAAGTGTTGTCAGACTTTTTATTCCTGCTTATTGGGGGAGGGAGGAAGGGAGGGAAGCGGGAGGAAACACTCCTCACAAACACACACACTCACACGCACGCACACACACACACACACCTATGCCACATGCTCACACTGCAGTTTTTCCCATTTTCCCTTAGTTCTTCAGCTTGTCTTCAGCAGATCTTACTGCAGACACACGCACTTCGTGAAGCTGTTTCACGTGGAAGTCATCCAGAGTATTCCAGTGCGCCGCACTGCGCACTCACACTTTCCACAGCTCATCAGCAGCCAGCAGAGTTCATTTCGGCGGGAGGTTGTTTTTGCCCCGAGTGGGCCGGGCTCCGGCTCCTAATCACTAGCAGATGAGCCCCCTTCCCTGCCACCGCAGGCCCACGTCCTGCTCCGTCTCTGCCTCCAAGCATAGAGCTTCCCCGTTCCTCTGGAA